TTGATTGACCGCACCTGTTTACCCCCTACTTCTCGTCGCCTCCTGTGACCTCGATATGGTGAGGTTTACCTAACACACTATGGCATCTAACTTTCAGTGGTGACCCATAGTACTTTCGGGTGACTCGCTCCTTCTTATCCCCATATTCGTTTGTTCTCTCCTTGTACTCTGTAGATGAGTGAAGATAGTGCTCGTCCATCCGTTACCATACTTCGATCGGACGGATCACCTTTACCAACATCCTCTTCTTCGGGTGGTAATGCGACATCTTCGAGTTCTCACGGAAATCCACCCCCACGACCACCAGCGACCTACGCAAACGCATCCACTTCTGGAGCCAGTGGTTCATCCACAATCGGTTTGGAAGGATTGAACGATGACGAACAGTTGCCGCCAAAATGGGAAAGACGTTTCACTGAGAGCGGTAGACCTTACTATTTGGATCATTTGACAAAAACCACCACTTGGGTGCGCCCCGCTCCGCTACCCCCAGGGTGAGTTTGTTTATTCATACGAATTTGTCCAAGTCACTGTCGTTTCTTCTGCTTTTGATAATCAGGCGACTAAAGGAAGCAAACGATAGGGTTTACTCATTCTGTTCTTCAATATGCCATATTGTCTAATAACAAACGTGAGGTAATCAAATCCCATTCTGTTAGAGCACTGCGGAAAGGCAGGTTCCAAATAGGTGCATTCACATGGTAGGGGAATGTTCGGTACTGTACTCATTCAATTATCTTACTCATTGAGTAACCCACAGTCTAAGCACTTGTATTTTACTGGCTCGTTGAATAATCAAATACCTCACAGAATAAAGAAGGTATGGTCTCAATCAAAAGAATGTAGTAACCCATCAACAAAGGGAATTGCGATTGTTCACATTGATAAGCGATTCATAGAACGGTCACACACCTTTTAATTTGCGCCATCTTTCTGGGAGTCCAAGTTGAACATTATGTTCGAACTCCGTCAGTGGGGGTTGTGAAAAGTAGGATGCTTCACTGGCGATTCATCGGAAACACACATTGAAGGTTTTCTTCATCGCTTAAATCATACACATGAAGGGAAGCAGCCGACGCTAAAATTCCACAGCCCACTCTTTGACTAAAGTTGTTAAATGTTTCAATCTCTTTTTTAGTTTGCCCCTGGTTTACTTTCATCAGGTTTTCCGTTTTTAAGGAGGCATCAATTTGTGTGTGTGTCTGGACAAATTTCACTCGGTTCAATTTGTTTTCCTTTTCCCTTTCACCTTCTTCATTCCTTTCATGATTGTATATAATGAAATTAATTAAAAACAACGGGCTTCCTCTTACTTCGCGTACTAAACAAATTTGTGAATGAAGCGACAAAGTAGGTCGCAGGTTACTGGGGAGAGGTAGGCTTTTGTAGAGCACGTCTTCTGTCTTCATCAGTTCAGGAATGATTCTGCCAATATTGGTAGTGTTTGCCAAAAGACAGCAATCAGAGCTGGCTGGCAATTTAAAGTGCGATGTTGAATATTTGGTATCTGAATTGAATCAGTTCGCGTGTGAGGAATTGACTATGTCGCAGACAACAAGCTGTCTCTTTGAAAATACGCGGATGGGATATGATCTTCGTGGGATCCATCTATTTGCCATATTTTTTTTATTTTACTTCCATTTATTTCAGGAAGGGGCATGCGACCAATCAAAGGGCTGCCACGTAGTGCAGAGAATGAGGAAATTAGGTGGTATGGGTGGGATTTAAACACCGTCCTCCAGGGTGATAATCCGAGGAGGTTAACACCCGACCACCACCGCTCTGATAGCAGTTCTACCATGAAACACTGTCACTAAAGCCTTTTACCGACCTCGTAGAAAGAGTCTAAGAGCTCTAAGTTAGACCCGAAGCTTCAGATACAAAGGTATTCTCAGATCCAAATAATTTGGTGAAAAAACTGGCGTTAAGATACGAAAACCTCAATCGGAGAACTGAGGTAATCCAAAGTTCTTGTTTGTGACTATCAGGAGAAACTGCATTCTGTTTCGGTCTCGTAGCTCGTGCGTCTCAGAGATTTTAGCAAGATGAAAAAGATAATAAGGCGAAAATGTAGTGATCATAGTTCATAATGTTTTTCAATATTTTTGTCATAGTCACTTTGTTGATTTCTCACCGTCTCTGTCTGCCAGTTGGGAGCGTCGTCTCGACCCGAACAATCGAGTGTATTACGTTGACCACAACACCCGAACCACAACTTGGCAGCATCCCAGCCCAACTCTGTTGAACACAATGGCCCAGTGGCAACAGATGTCAGCCGCCCGATCGGGCATGTTACAGCAGCAGATCAACGAGCGGTACGCAAATCGTAATCTTACCCCGGGGGGTGCTGTTCCCAGTATGAACGCAGGATCGAGACCTGGACCGGTTGGAATGGATTTGCTCGGTCCATTGCCGGAGGGATGGGGTAAGTCCATCCTGTTTCGTTCGCAATCAGTTCAGCTTTTACAATCATTAACCTTGTACTTCTGTGCGCCAGTTTTCGTTGCTGTTTTTGAAGATTGGAACGTTGAGAACAAAGTTAGAGGGAAGACTGAGAAATTATATAGACTGTGGTGGCAACAATATTGAGTAGGTGCACGAGCGCCACTGTTTGGCTTAGTGTCGCACTAAGCCATACATATCACTCTGATTATCTTTGGTGGAAAATTTGCGTTTCGCTATTTTTTACACAAGTTTGAATAACTACTTTGTTCAATTTCTCAAACAGATGAAGATTCGAACTCACGACTGCCAGACGACCTGTAGTCGTATAGATCTTTTTCGTCTGAGTGAAGACGTCAAGGAACTTGAAGAGGCGATTGGTTCATGTGAATAAGAAAATTGTTACAGTCAACTAAACGATGGTGGTGGCGGCAGTGGCTTCCGAACTGAGTTGATGTTGTACTTGACCGTTCACCGACCGCTGCAGGGTGTCTGCACCGCGATTGTTTCACTTTCACTGCTGGAAAGAATAGTGAAGCGAAATGCGTTCGATCATTTTGTCATTTTCCTTGATTTAGCTGATCACTATAAAATTGCCGCCAGGATAGTTGCGTTAGTTGGTTCCAAGCACCAATGGGCATAGATATCCAACCAGATGAGCACGCACTGTATGAACCTGATTTGTTGATTTTGTAAATGAACTTTTTGGTAAATCTCAGATGGATGGCCAAACGCTTAGGTGTTCTATTGCATTCTGGGGATCCATGAGTTTGTGATAAACAACCTACTGTCTGTTCATTGTAATTCGGTAGTTTAAGCTCTGGGGCTTGCTGTGGCGAGTCTCTAATAAGGACTCACTGTGATGATTGGGGTACCGAGCTTCCCATCACCGAATTTGTTGGTATAGCAGAATTCGATACCCAGGCCCGTGGGTCCCAAATCACACAACTGACGGTCGGGCAAACCGCCTGGTCAACAGCCCCGTTGCACGGTACAGTTATTTCAAACGCATTACTGGTTCGATGAATAATTAGTCACAACATAATAATACCAGTTACGTTTCAAATAAATTTCGAGGTTTTAGTTTGAGGATTGTATCGTTTGTGTTGTCACCGTTTGCTATAAAGCATATTATTTTTGTAACAACACGTGGAATACGAATGTTGGTATGTCAACCAACGGGAACCGACTCTGACCCCTTTCTCTCATTGATGGGGATGCGAGATTTTGGTTGTNAATCAACACCTCCGAACCTGATCGTTCATTTCTCTCGTTTTCAAATGAGATCCCAACTAGCCCTCCCTTAAATTTGAAAGTAACTTCCTCAGTTGCACTTCTTATGCTCTTCGGGGTGTTGATCTTACTTTTTCCATATATTGTACCTCGTATGTTGCCGTCATTGCTTCCTTTGGGTCGAAAGAAGTCGTTTTCCTCTTTGCTAGAAAACCCAATCACTCAACTTTCGATTAAGCTTAACTGTGACCTTCTTNCAAAATCACCCAGGTTCCATACTCTATTAACTCTCTTTCAGTATGTTAACGTTCTCCACTTTGACGTTTGCTCCTTCCCCTGTTTATGGTTGACATTCGCGGGATCTCCCATCTGCAGTTTCAACCTCACTTCTCGTGGATGATCATACTCAAGGGGAGACCAAACACAATCCACCATTACCGGTCGTTCAGCTTCCGACGATTTCATTGCGAGGGCTGAGTAAAACGTTTCCGGATACGCAGTACACGACGAGTACAAGGTGCAGATGACCGGGCAATGAAGACGTGAACTGTGATCTGTTATGGAAACTGCCTAGTGATTGCAACTCAGAACCAAATACCAACAGCTGAGTACAGTTCACAACTCATTAGAGTCGTTATTCTCGAACTGTACGGCTGGAACTCAAACGGAGGGTGATCCTTTTATACTGCTACAAATGTGGTTTAAAGCAGCAGCACAGTGTTGGTCCTTTACGAGCTGCCTTTAGTGTTGATGGTGTTTGCGAAATTCACACGTGACAGACCGCTCTGAATGATGAGACACGGTGTGGTCGACCTGTGGAGGTCACCACAGCAGGCGGCATTGCTTCTATGCAAGCAGTGATGGAGGAGGATGCGTGGGTGATAGTGACGCAGTTGGTAAAAACCATCCGGAACTCATCAAGATCAATCCGCACCGTCCTACATGAGAATGTCAGCCTCAGAAAGGTTTGTGCACGCTGTATACCGCTATCTCCTCGGTAAGGAACAGAAAGCAGCCGAGGTGAATTGGTACCGCACCATGCTTACCAGGTGCGATGGTTAACGTTTCAATACACTATGGGGGATGACCATTGGTGATGAGACCTGGGTGTACAGTTTTGGCCTAGAGACCAAGCAACCATCGGCTCATTGGACGCCGGTTGGCGGGGCGCCACGTCAGAAATTCCGACTCGAGCGCAATGTGGCAAAGCATATGATGGCTGTGTTCATAGTCAAAACGGTCATGTGACTACAGTACCACTCATACAGCAATGCAGTCACCAGAGAATAGTGTGTCACCAACTGTCTGTCGAAAGTTCTGCAAGCTGTGACCAGGCTTTGTCCAATGCCTGGAACACGAGGGACCTTGCTGTACCATGACAACGCACCGGTACACATTTCCCATGTCGTTGGTGGTTTTCTGGCTATAGAACACATCCAGTAGGTTGATCACCCACCCTGCAGTCCAGACCTAGCTCCGTGTGACTTTTTGTGTTTCGAAATGTCAAGTGTATGATGTGATCCGAGTCACCAAGAACTGTAGTAGTGACTTACATTGAACGAAACGAAGGGTTACCCGCTTTCTTATGGTCGAGCTGTTTTGCCAAATGGTTTGAGGGCATGGAACTGTGCATAAACGCCGGTGGAGAATACTTCGAGACAATATAATGCTTATTTTTATGTGACAAATAAAACGTTTTGTGCATCTGGACACATTTTGCTCAGCCCTCCGATTTTGTTAAGCTGAATCTGAAACCTGATTCGTTCACCACCCCTCCCCTTACAGGTACAGCCAGAATGTAGAAGACTAGCTAGATTTCTATAATGATCGCGTGCCTCTTCTCCTTATTTCATCTACACAAATATGACCAGCTGAAGTTTGTTTCATGTTTCTATTTTCGTGTCTTTTTTTAATGAGATTGCCGTTCCTGTCACTAGCCATACGAGTACAATACGCTGCTCAGACGGCTATGTATTTCATTGATCGGCTATTGCAAATGTTCCTTAACGAAGGTGCTTTATTGCTGTATATATATATATGATGTTCAGTTGTTCACCGAGCTTGGCAATTGTATTGCAAACGTTTCATCACCAATCGAGGTAACATTCTCAATGCAGTAACTGGGTGAGCGCCTACGAGTGTCCTCTTCCTTATATAGGTCATTGAGTGATGTGGCGTTGCCTGATTGACCAAGGTTTGTTCGCTTTGTGCCGATAGGGGATGAGGTGGACGCGAACAGTCTGACGGCCGGCCGTTGATCGATCAGTCTAAGCGTTACTGTTGTCCTGTCGTGTCACGTGTGACACGACCCACCTTCTTTGCGTTGATTGGTCCTCTTGTTGCATGGGGTTG